TGGTGATGGCACACAGAGATAGGGAGACCTCAGTGATCTGTCTGAAGTCCATAAAGGAAAACCACTATTTCCTAGAGGAAAAAAAAAAAACAAAACACAACAAAAACCAAAACTCGCTATCAAAGCCTGGAGGAGGCATCCTTCAGCAGCGAACCGGTGCCTGATTCAAAACAGCTGTACCAAACCCACCCCAACTCTCCCAGGCCAGCAATCCAGCTCTGCAAAGGGGACAGGCCCCTGGCTCTGAGTTACCATTGCCGAAAGGCAGCAATGGGTTTGGTTGCAAGGGTCACCTCTCGCCTCCAAACACTCATCGAAAGTACAGAGCCATTGGGCCACAGCTGGAGAAATGAGTGCAGAGTTTGAGCGAGCCAGTTAGAGAGCCCTGCACATACAACACAACATCTCCTGAGCCATTTGTGCCTCCATTAGCATCGTGGCACCTTTGGCTGGACACAAACATTTTGGCAGGTATTATGCCAGCCTCACCTGTGGCGCTCTGCTTGTGTTTGAGACTCCACCTCTGATGGCCTGAAAATCTCCTCCCTTTTAATTTGACTCAGACAGTCATATTGTCCTTATCTGGAGGGCTACATTGACCTCTTAAACGACAAGTTCCTTCCATGATTATATACATGGCTCTAAAATGCAGCTGACTCACTCAGTGTTACCCTTTGGAGACCTCAGCAAGGGCTTTGTCCTGAAATGGACAGCTCTGTGGCTGATTTCAATAAGTCAAGAGCTCTTGTGTTCCTAAGCATTAAAGAGGATTTAAACTTTTTTATATACATATAGGATTAAGTGAACCTCTAGTTCAGTGTCAGATCTTTTTCATTTTCGAAAGAGTTCAATCTCAATCAGACATCTAGGGTTTTATTGTCAAGCTTGTCTCAAACAATTCCCACGTCATCGTTGGCTTGCATTGTTTCAAATAATAGCCTTGTTTCATTCACGTGACTGCACTATGATTTTGATGTGAGCTAGCAATAACTGTGAAATCATACTCTGTAGGTAAGCAGTCTTTCAAAAAAATCTCAAAAAATTACACACAATAGGGAGCGACAACATATCTCATAATTGTTTCTCTTTCTAGGTATTCTTGAAATAACTGCAGTTGATGTTGGAATCGTTGCCATCAAGGGCTTGTTCTCTGGCAGGTACCTGGCCATGAACAAAAGGGGCAGACTTTATGCATCAGTAAGTTTTACTTCAGACTGGCACATGCCTGTCATTTCCTATGGGGAGAACAGGTCTAGTGGGGAACATTGATTTCTTATAAATAAATATTTATAGAGAAAAGAGTAATGTTATAACAGATTTCTGTCTGGAATTGTTACAGGCAACCAGTGGGTATATTTTCAAAAGTGGAAAGAAGCTGTGTTCTTATTTTCTTATTCCCTGTACAACCAAAAGCAGATTTGGCAAAGCTATTTCACATGGCCACAGTTTTGGGCAGTTGGGTGCACTGATAAAGACCTCAGGAGCCAGCCTTTGCAGTGCAGAACGTCCATTTCTATTCAAAATTATCCATGTTTATGCTTGATGTGGATCTTGGACACTGGCAGAGGATATATATGTCAGATAAAGAATATCCAGAAGTAACTGAGCATGTCTGTTACATGAAAGCAGCCTACTGATGGGGGTTTCTTTGCACAGAGCATTTGGCTGGGCGGTGAAAGAATTTACAGATACTAAAAGGCAGGGCTATAGCAAGGAAAGAAAGTATGAGAAGGTGCAAGAAGATAAAAGTGAAAATAAATGCCTTATTTTACTCCTTTGACCTCATTTTTTGTCCTGACCTTCAAAGTAAAGTCTGGGCTGTGCTGATATTAGTGGGAGTCTTGCCTTTTCAGCCCAGCCAATATTTCCCCTCAGTGAATAAAATACTTCAGCTTAGACTTCTTCGCATTCAGGGACATACTAAGGCACATTTGTCAGTGTGTATACTATACACATTATCCACCTACTTGAATTTCTTCCATTGTCTTTGATTACATCCCTAGCAATCTTGTGATCTCTTACTGTATAACAGCCATACTGTGCAGTTTCTCCAGGAATCCTGTGTAAGGAAACAGATTTGAAGAGGATAAAATGAAATTTGCTTCCTCTGAGCAGTCATTATATGTAATTCTGTTGATTTGAACAGCGTGATATAGCGTTGAACAATGTGAGCTTTTTCCATGTGAATGCAACCTAGGTAACACAATCAACTCAGTTGCCTCCCTGGTTTAATGTATTTTACTCCAGCTTTTCAAAAGCGTTCTGATAGTGTTTACGACCCAGCTTCTGTAATGTGTCTCATGTGATGCACGCTGATTAAAGGGCCTGTGTGTAAAGATGATGGTTCTTTGCTGGTGCAGAGAAGCAGATCACAAGCAATTTTGGCAAAGGAAAATGGAGCTGAAGTGGAACGAGGACGTATTAGCTCTGCTGTGCCAGAGCTAAGTCCGGCCCCTTCTATGCTTCCAGTTAATATTAAATTAAAATGGGCATCTTTTTCAATGGAGCTCCTCCATCACCTCAGAGCCAGCGTCTGCCCCAAAGAAATTAATGAGAAGGATGAATTTTTTTTCAAGTTCTTTCTCATCTTTCTCTCTTTCTTGTTCCAAATAGGTATGTTTTTTCTCCAGATTAATTAAACTGAATTAAAATAAGACTAAACAAAATCTAAGCAAAACACTCCTCTCCTCAGAGTGGAGAAAAGCCTGGAGTAGGATAGCCCAGAGAGTCCTTTTCTCCTGAACTTCCCTTTCTGGTGTGAGGAGCATCAGGCCATCCTGAAGTTTGTTCAGCTGTCACGTGACAAGGAATATCAGCCACGAAAGATTTCTGTACAACTGGAAAAGATAATTTTTGCTGTTCCATCTCAAGTTTGAGAGAGACTGTTTCAGACTTGTGTTTCAGAGCTGGTGGGACAATCCAGGAAAAGCTATTCCACTCCAGCTTTTTTCAGAGAAGCAGCAAGGGATGAGGGCTCAGTTCAGGAGAAAATTCCTGGCTTTGCTTGCCTAGAAAAAACTGACCAATGACTTTACTGATATTACTGTTCCAGGAACCGGTGCACGGCCCTCATTTCAAATAAGACAGACTTCTTTGGGGATAATTATACAGGGAGCATTTTATGAAATAGTATTGGAATAACTCTGTTATCCCTTGGTTCACCAGCTTTCCCATGTCAATAAAATGGGTTTGTTGAGTCTGCAGGATTTCTTTGTGTCCTTAGCAGATTGTGATAATCCTCTGTCATAAACTCTCTACAACCAGAACTGAGGCAGACGGCAGGACAAACCTACCTGCATATGGCAGTTGCATGGGCTCCAGCACCACAGCATATGAAAACCTTGTCCTTGCAAGGAAGGGCACTTCCGTTTTACAGCTGTGAAGCTGAGACATGTGGAGTCTTTTAAAATCTTGTTAAATGCCTATCAGCATTTCTAGTGAGTGAACAGCATTAAAGATATGTTGTTAATGGAGCCTACGGCTTTTCTGGCCCCAGCCTGGCTACCTGTGCCCTTTCCATGTCCTCCACAGAAGCAAGGCTAAATAAAAAAACCCTCTGTAAAGACCACAGTACAGTTCCCCTCTGCCTCTCTGCTTTACACATGTTAGATACTGAAGTCTTAATCACACAGGTACAGCAAAGATGATTTTGTAGTGAAGAAAAGATGTACAGTGTGGGAGGTCCTTTATTTGCACTGTTTCTACTGCTCCCAGGGAGTAGGAAGGTGTTCCCCTCGCCAGGCTCTTGCACACTGTTTTCTCTCAGCTGAGTACCAGAATAAAAGGGGCAAATTTTGGCAGATCATGTAAAATGTGAGCACCCAGGATGGGTCCGTATTCTCCCTTACAGTTTATGATAAAGGAGGAGCCTAGCATTTTGGAGGAACGCACTGGTGGGCAGGGTGTACTTTCATTTTGTTATGCTGAAGCAAACAAAGAAGCTTCATAAAGGTGCTATTTACTGCTCAAATATCTGTAACAAACTGGATGTAATAGACTGCAGGTGATTCTAACTACCAATATACCAATTAAAGATCCACATTTTATGTTAAACTGTATTATTTTACCTTTTTAATAGATTTCAAAGATTGATAGGCAGCAATTAAATCATCTGTCCAGTTCACAGGCATATTTAGATCCGTAAGCACAAAAAAATTAAATTTACAGCTGAACAATCAGCAGAGCTATTAATTCCTTTTCATATGCCATTTTTTATTTTCAAATTGTTTTTTAGCCTCTGTCTGTCTCTGATCCGCAGAGTTTGCTCACACTGCTGACAGAACCTTGTTGCACAGCAGTTCAGGCTCAGCGCTTCTCTTCTGCTTCCCTTTTGTAGCACTGACCTGAGTTTTTCTTACCACACTTATTGCTGTCCTTATCCTAAAACTCAGCAGGGTCTTCCTTAAGACTTTAGTCCAATCTTATTGAGGTAGAAGAGAGCTATTGCCCATATAGTCTTTCTTAAACTTTGTCATGTTTGCTTCACAGGAAAATTATAATGCAGAGTGTGAGTTTGTGGAGAGGATCCATGAATTGGGTTATAACACCTACGCGTCCCGCCTCTACCGGACTGTACCTAACAGAGCCGGCACCAAGCGCAAAGCCAGTGCAGAGAGACTCTGGTATGTCTCAGTCAATGGGAAAGGACGACCCAGAAGGGGCTTTAAAACTCGCAGGACACAGAAATCATCTCTCTTCCTGCCCAGAGTATTGGATAACAAAGACCATGAAATGGTCCGACTGTTCCACACAAACGTGAAATATCGGGAGAGTTTTCTGAAGCCTTCAAGCAAGAACCAGCGAAGGAGGAGAGGACGTTGACAGGGTGGGGGGAGCTTGTGTGGGGTCTGGAAGTGACTGAGAGTCTTCAAAATACTACTAAAAAACTAACAGCTGTGATTGTATGACAGGCATTAACCAGGACATTTTTATACACTGTATAATATAACTGAAAGTCACATCACTTACTGTTAGCTATGGTAGAATTATTATCTGTGGTAAAAGATGTGAGATAATCTAAGGCACATTCAAATGTAAATTAGTTAGACGTAATAATTTTGTCAATGACTTTCACATTTTCTTTTCTAAAAAAAAAAAAAAATTCATTATTAGTATTTTAATTCTAACTTGCCATAGGGTATTATCTCATTGACCTGTCCTGCCAGAGCATATGAATATTTTACACTTACCAATTTTGTGTCGGCAGATAAGGTACAGTACTTTCATTGCTCTTTTGGCAGTTCCTCATAAAAGGTTAAGTTCCTATTTTTATGGAATACAGGAGTTAGAAAACCGGTTTATTTTTTAACTTACATATATTTATTTTTATTTTATGATCAGCCAGTATCAATTATACTTTTTCCAAGACTGTCCAAGAAAAGTAAAATCGTAAGTGACTTTGAATATTTCAACAGACCTACGCATTACTAGATTATTCTTGAATTTGATTAATTGAAAACCCAAGAGTCCTGACCTTGTCATTCAAATAAAGTGACATTTGCATTGGACAAGATTTAGCAATACATTCCTCTTCACCAACCGATGAATCGTCTCCTAAAATAGGACCCAAATATGATGTGAAAGCTGAGGTTTTTGTGTGGACTGAACCCACAATATACGAAAATTCAGCACTGGGGATGAGAATCTTTTATCAGGTACTTTTGTTTAGCTAAGTTTTCTACAGGAAGTCCTAGTTCTAGGTTAAATATGTTTAAACTAGACATATTTGTGGGGCGGTGGGAATAACAGTCACATTGGGCATACAAAAACTGTGGTGACTTGCTAATTTAAGGTGGCTACAATGTTCTGATTTTCCTTTCTTTTCAAATGCTGGTTACTTTCACAAAGTAGTCCTAAACTGAAAGCTGCAAATCCACATTAGGGGTTAATTATCTTGAGTTTTGGTTCAATCCATATAAAAATACATTTCTATATGCTTGTCTACTCTGATTCTGGAGGTTAATTTTTACAAAGTTGAGGGAAGTCTGTATCACAAGTTTAATTTTGAGCAAGGAGTTAAGCTTTAAAAATTTCACTTGACATCCAGGAGATGAGAAAGTAGTACAAAGATTTAAATGTGTTTGACATGCATAAATAATGGTCATTGCAATGAGATTTGGCCTTGTACTCTTCACTTCCTAGAATTAGGCCCTGATACAGCACAGCTGGAGAAAAGAGAGACTGCACTGAAATAAACATTCAATTTGAATTTAACAAAAGATCTGTAAGTTAAATATGACGTTATATAGAAACAGACAGGTGCAAATCCCATTCCTGGTCATATTGACACAAAGGTCTTCTTGTGAGCTACCTACTGAATAACCGTATGATCGTTTAAAATTAGGTAGTGAAAATCTTCCATTGCTAAGGGGTGAATTCTGTGAGAGAGAGAAGTAAAATGAGTCCATAGAATGAGTTTACTAAGCCTCATAGTTGTAGGTTTAGCACTGCTTACATCCTTATAAAGGTAAAAACAGAAAGGTGTCTTTACATCAAAAAGTATGTTCCATTGCTTCCACCTTCATATGTTTTCTGTAGTATTCTAACAAAGAAGGAAACTATGTTTGAATAAGAAAGTCAAAATGCTTTGATCTCTGCTTTCCTTTATACTGAAATAATGTGAATAGACACTTAAATGATGTACATCAAATAATGCAATGTGGTGCACACAGAATAGACCTCGATTTAAAAAAGGACACAGAAAACCATGAACCAAGTTCCCAAATTTTCTCCCTTTTACAAAATAATGAAAACAGTGATGGGATCTTCACGGAAGTAATCAGGCAGTATCATGTCAGGAACCGCTGAAAAACCTGTGCAAAGAAGAGAGTGAAAAAGAAATAGAAGAATTCAGATTTTCTGTTCTGTTTACTCTCCTGTGAACCACACAATGTCCAAACTACTGCAGAATTCAAGGTGTCTTGAAAGTTGGTTGTACCAGTGAAGAAGATTGAGTTTTGCAACCTGGGCATCAGGGGTTTTGGGGCCACATTGTTGACTACACTAGCTACCCTATCTCAGCTCTGTATTTCCCATCATGCTACTGATGGAAGCTGAACAGTTTGACTGAAAGATGGCATCTTCACCCCAGCTCCAACTCTGTTTCCTATCAAACATTTAGTCTTCACTCTTGGCTTTTCTCAAGAGCAAGTGCTTGTGCTGACTGTATCCCTTGCTTTTATGTCTCTGTTTTTGTCAATTTTTCCTCTTCTTCTTTTCTCCTTCCACCTCGCTTTCACAGATGGTCAAACTACCTGCCAAAATGCAACAGCAGGTAATTGCGATAGGTGCTATAGGAATATCATTAATTACAAAACACCTGCTCACTTCTGTCTTTGTTTTGAGCTGTATTGCTTGCTTGTTGTAGGAGCATTGTTTTAACCACCTTCCCTTAGGACATTGCAATGAAGTTTAGCTTAACACATGAACTATATCCTTATTTCAGTTTCAGTTTTTGTCCCAACAAAGTCTAAAATACTAACACTGGAAAAAAAAGGATGGGGGAGACAAAAGAAAAAAAAAATTAACTGATTGCACCCAATGGCATTTTAACAACTGTAGGTAAGTGATGATCTTCACATCAGCCTAAAACAATTTTACTGACATTCTTAGAATTTTTCTTTGCTCAGTCTCATTGCAACAAATCAAAGGAGATAGCGTTGGGATTTGTCTTTTTTTTTTTTTGTCTTTTAAGAAATATTAATGTTCTTGTTGAAATACTTTTCATTACAGACATTCATTACTTAATATTCTTTTAGCAATCTTGAATTCCACAGTTACCAGATACTGACAGGCTGAAATCCTATTCATGATAATTATCCCTGTTGTATCCTATATCCTATTTTATTTATTTGGACCAGAATCTTATCCCTTACAAGAGGCAGTAGATTTGAGTTACTGTTACTTTCTCCTTAGGATTATAAAGTCCACTTGTGTCTCCTCTTTTAAAAGTTTCTTGAGTGACTTTATACCTTTGCATTGTAGAGGCTATTATCAGACTTTTTTCTTTTTTTTTTTTTTTTTTTTTTGAGGAAGATGTAAACTTTACCCATTTTGGTTTATAGAGTTTCTGCAAACTTCACGTCCTGCAGAAGTTCACTGCCATCCTTAAATTCATCACAAACCAGTGATCATAGAAAGGGTCATTCAGGTAAGCTAGACCTGGTAAAGAGCTCATCTGCTGCAGCCTTTTGGTTAAATACCAGGTGAAATTTCAATTGCTTTTTGGTTCAGAGTCCATTTCAGGGCCACTAGCAGCATTCTGTGGTTACACCTGCATTAGCATGTAGTGCAGACTCACAGCAACAGATCTGCAGAACAAAACCTTTGGTGTCAAGTACCCACTATCCACACTACGCACATTTTGGGAGTGGGTGGGAGGGTTACTTTGGGTGACTTCCAGTCTGGCCCTGTGGACTGAAAGCCCTTTGGCAGGTGGAGCACTCTGAGAGGTCTTTGGGTTAAGTGTCACCAAGAAGGAATCCACCTCACACACTCAACAACTGTTGACATTAACTCCAACTAGCAGGAGACTGTCCATAAAAGCATGCTCCTGATTTGAAACAAGCACCAGTGTAGATGCACCCTGTGTGAGATCCACTCATTCATACCTTGTAACTGTTTCTTTTGGGGCAGCAACCAGATCCTGAGACCATGACTTCAACCCTCTCCATCCTGGGTGGCAAGTCAGTTACCAAAACACAAAACCGTTGCTGTTCTCATCCTGGAGGTGGGAGAGGATGGTCACCACATATTAATTGCCTATTCCTGGGCAACCTGCTTGAGGTGACCCTGCTTGAGGAGAGCAGTTGGACCAGATGCCATCCAGAGGTCCCATCCAACCTCAATTTTTCTGTGATTCAGTGATTCAATTATTAGTTGTACCTAGTTCAAACTGATTATTAGTTTGCCCTCACCTTTGCATATTCAGAGTCATGCTGTGCATTTCAGAGTCCAGTTCCCTATCCCAACACCTCAGATTTCTCTCCATTCACAAACTTCATCTGAAACCAAGCATGCTCTTCAGTTTTGGGTCAGTTATTCTCTAGCCAATTTTAACAGTCTGGTGTACTAACTATCTGTTCTTTCCCTTAAAATCACTTACTGCATGTTCAGTATAGTCGTTCAATTGCCAGATACAAGCAAAACTCGAGCAGCTGCTGTATGTACTTCCAAAAGCCACCTTTTCAGCTTGCTGTCCTGCACCAGCTCTTTCCTGAACTCCACAAGGTACATTCTCTTCATCTCCTTCACCTCCTTCCCATCATAAAAGTCCTTCTGTTGGTGCTGTTTCTGTCACTGTATGGAACTACTATTTCCTTCCAGTTTCGCACTTTTAAAGATTAAATATTGTTCTGTAGAAATTGTACAAATTACACAAATATTGTGTTACTTTCCCAGTCACTCGAACATTACTTGAACTGGACTTAAATGTCATTTTGTTTCTTGGGCAAAAGGCAGAGAACAGTGCATGAAGTGGTTTTGGCAAACAGTTTTCATTCACTTGCTTCCAGAAAGAAGACATGCAGCCTGATCCATGACTTTTTGATTTATATCTGAAGCAGATTTTTTTAGTTCCTTTAATCCTTGCTTTAGCCCATCATAGTTCTTATATTCCAAGACATTCAAAACTTCATGTAAAATATTCTGGTCTTTGCTGATTATGTTAGTACTTTTGCGGTTGTCTGTTCACAAAAAGCAAGAGTTGTGCGTGAAATGTAAATAACTACCCCATGTCGAATAACTAAGTTACAAAACATAAATTGTTTCCAAATTTACTCATACATTTTTCTCCACTTTCTCAGCATGGATTTTCCCTCTTT